AATTTGCTTTTGGGGCAAAACAAGCATTATATTATTCTGGACACTTTTTTTTTTGTGGTGAAATGGTTTTTGTCTATAGCAATCTCCTGGAGTGGCTCAAGTATAATCTCTTGTCTAATATCAGCCAGCCATATAAAAAATATGGATTATTGCCCTAACCCATTTGGTTCAGTGGATAAAGCATCGGCCTGTGGACTGAAGGATCCCGGGTTCGATTCCCCATCAGGGCACGTGCCCAAGTTGAGGGCTTGATTCCCAGCGTGGGGCGGGCACGAGGCAGCCGATCCATGATTCTCATCTTTGATGCCTCTCTCCCCCCTTTTCCATTCCTCTCCAAAGTCAATAAAAATATATTTTTTAAAAAAGAACTACTTAACAAAAACAAAAAAGATGGCGACCTCGGCCACACTCCCACCGTGACGCGCTTCTCGTCACAAATGACGCTGGGCCACCCCACGTGTCCGTCTCTGAGTTTGCAAGGCCGCCCGGGCCGGCAGCCTCCTCAGAGCTGGTCAGGCGTGGTGTGTGTGTGGCCCCGTTCCGTCCACGCTGACCACGCAGGCCAAGAGCGTGGCCTCGGTCGCCCACAGCAGCGGCTGCCACACTGTGTCCCACGCAGGAGTGGCCGTCCCCCTCCCATCCCCGGGTCTGCACGTGGCTTCCCGCCTAGTTTACGTCTCTGGAATCCACGGAGAGCTAGATTGGGCTGCTTCCCTTGCCTAACATTTCACATCTTGAAGATGTTGCTCCTTAAAGGGCCGGCGTGGAGGGAGCCGAAGCTCACACTGAGCTCCAGTCCCGAGGAGCCGGTGAGAGGCCGGGCAGGGAGAGAGCTGGGGTGTCGGGCTGTGCTGGGGGCGAGGTGCGGGGGGGAAGGGTAGCCCCTCAGAGAGAGCGGCATCTTCAGGGAACTGAACGGGGCGGAGTGGGAAGGCGAAGGGGACCAGCGAGCTTGGGGCGGGAGGCGCAGGGGAGGAGGGCAGGGCGGCGGGAAGCCTGACCCAGCGCCAAGCGGCCCTGGACGGAGCAGGAGTCGCGGCAGCGCTGGATCCCAGGTTCTTGCTAAGAAACCGCACGCTGCGCCCCGAATTCCGGTTCTTCAAAGACTCTGAGGACGGTGGACGACAAGGGGCCACACGCTGACCTGGGAGCTCAGGGGAGGCCTGTGGTCGCGGAGGATGGTGCGGAATAAAAGCTTCAGTAACGAGGAGCTCGGGGAGTAGTCGCGTCCCAGGCCGGTGTCCCGACAGCGATCGGCGTCTACTGTACTGAGTGTTGTCTTTTGCATCTAAGGTAAGCCCTGCGGAGGGCCGGGGTCACTGGGAACGGCCCTTCCCCTGACCCCTCGGGCACAGCAAGTGGCAGGAGGGAGCCCACACGTTCGCTCCCTCCTGTTACTGTCGTGTTACCTGGACTGTGAGCTGTGCTGCGCCCACCTGTGTAAGGAAGCACGTGCCCATCATGTCACTCACCCAATCCCAGAGGCCCCCTGGGCTTTCTGCGCCTCCTCGTCTACCAGCGATGGGTTTCCTGTGACCCCTTCTGTCCCCTCCTCTGACTGTGAGAGTCAGCCCCTCCCCGGGCTCGGGGACCCGAGGCCACGGCCGGGAAGCTGCAGCGCCAGGACCAGGTCCCAGGGCCTGAGGCCACGGGGGGACCACGGAGGGGACCACGAGGGAGCTGGGGTTGGAAGACTACCTCAGGGCTGGAGGGCAAAGGGGCCACGTGCTCACCGACTGACCCAGGGGAGGCCTACGTGAGGCCTTGCAAAGCGGAGACCTGAAGTGGCTGCAAAGAGGGCCTGACAGGAACACCTCCCATTAAAGAGCCGTCTGTGGGGGCCAGTCACGTCCGCGCGGTGTCCTCTCCTCCCCGGCAAGGTCAGTCTCGCCCGCACTGAGCCTGTGTCTGCGTCTGAGATAACGCCTGGAAACGGCCGCCTGTGCTTCCTTCTCTGGACCCTCGGGGCACAAACGGGCCAGGGCGGAGGCACGGGCGCCCTCGTGGTTCGGTCCCCGTGCTCACTGCTGACGGCTGGCCGTCGGCACCCACCGGAGTAAAGGAGCTGTGGCCGCATTTTCCTCTCCCCGCATCTCAGAGCTTCCCCCTCCGACCTCCCCCGCCCCCCTCATCTGCCCCCGGTGGGTTTCGTTGACCCCCTGGCGTCTCCCCGTTAGATGTAAAGGTTAAAAGGGGAAACGCGCCGTTCTCCGGAGCACGCTGCGTACAGAGATCCACCGTTTGGCTCCAATGCCTCCTCCCTGAACAGAGTCCACTCAGGCTCACAACCTGATGTTTTTCCGTGGAAATGACTTGCAGGGAGACGGAGAAACAGGGCGGATAGAAACGCTCTCAGAAATTATAAGTGACAATATCGACAAGAGGTAAAACGAACTTTCCCCGGGAGCCAGAGACCAGGCACTCAGGGAGTCGGGGGGCTTCCCGGAGGCGGGGCTGGGCTGTGACCTCTGAGCCCCCGGAGGCCAGGAATTTCCAAAAGGATGGGGGGGGGGGGGAACAGGGGTTCCCTGCCCCCACGGTGAGCGGTGTTCTCGCTTCTAAGGGAACACAGGCCACTCAGCCTGTTCTCCTTTCTCCGCAGTCACTGCTGCAGGACAGGCCCCGGGCACTCCGTGGCCCTTGCTGCACAAGTCACATGACGAAACCTGAACGTTAATGCCAGGAGGGCTCTTGCTGGAAAAGGGGACACGCCCTCCCGGCCAGACAGCAGCGGCCACAGGACACCCTGGCCTGCGGCACGGCCGGGGCTCAGCTTAAATTGTTTATGCAGAGTGGGCACCTCTCCAGGTCCCCGATATGTGCCTGTCCATCTAGAACAGCGGTTCTCAACCTGTGGGTCGCGACCCCTGTGGCGGTCGAAGGACCCTTTCACAGGGGTCGCCTAAGACCATCCTGCATATCAGATATTTACATGACGATTCATCACAGTAACAACGTTACAGTTATGAAGTAGCAAAGAAAATAATTTTATGGTTGGGTCACAACATGAGGAACTGTATGTAAAGGGCCAGAAGGTTGAGAACCACTGACCTAGAGCAACCCAGCCACGTTGTTGTAGAGTGCTACATCGGTGACCCCCAGCGAACCGCATCTCCAAATAGTCCTCCCTGTGTGGCCCTCCCAGCATGGCTCTGGGCTTGTTCTGACCATGGGACCTCAGCACGTGTGATGCCATCAGAAGCTCAGTCCTGTTTGCACATGAGCCTTGCCCCTTTGGAAATGCTTCCACTTGGAAGTCAACTGCCTTGATAGAAAGAAACTCGGACTGGGCAGCTGAAACTAATACAAAA